ATCTTGATTCTTAGAAACATATAGATATTGTTTGAGTATTATATAAATTCTTATGCTAAGCTTCGTTGTTAGAATGAGATTTCTACTCAATTTAAGCATTATGTCTTTTGTGTAAATTTAGTATGCATATCTAGAAAACGTTTATGTGAGTGTGAAAATTTTGAATTATGTATTAAGTTTTAAAATTTGTTTGAATCTCTCTCAAGGTGAAATCTTAGGTTATACATAGTTAAGGAAATGATTTAGGGCATCTTTGGACTGATTGTGCCTTTTTAGCCTATTTTATGTAATCTGATTGTGCCTTTTTAGCCTACTTACTTTATGTAATCTATCCTTATTTTACCCTTTTTAAGCTTAATATAACCATTTTTTTGTCTGAACACTTAATTTTTAGCCTAAACCTTTATATAAATAGTTTCAATTTTTTGCATCCCTCGCTCTTAAGTGCATAGGTCAATTTAGGAAGTGTTATGAGCTAAATATGAAAGAGGTAGTAAGGATGAAAAGTGATGAAATGTTCTAAAATTATGATTGTATTCCTCTCACTACCCAATAAAAGAAATAAGTTTGGGGGTGTAATATTAAGAAAAAAAAGAAAAAGAAAAAGGGTGGCAGAAAAAGAAAAAGATTGAAGTATTGAACAAAAGAAAATTTTTGACGAAAAAAAAAAGGGTATTCTAGGTGAAGGAAAATAAAGCTCTAAATAGTTACTAGAATGACCCAATGCTCAGGGTGATTTAGGACATTTTAATATCCTATATCTTACCTTGACCCTAGCCATATATTACAAGCTTGATAAAGTCTTATTGATCTTTAACTTAATATTAGTCTATATTAGTGAAGAGACAGAAGAAAAGCAATTATAGAATTTTATTACTAATTTAAATTTTACATGAATATAAACTTATCTAGATTGTACAATATTCTAAATGAAAAGATTGCACATTCACATGGAAATCCACTTAATGATAAGTTGGCATTTGAATTGAAATATGAACTTGAATAAAATTTATGTGTTGTTTAAAGTTGGGAATTTGGATTAACTTTTAAGGATATTACAGGTAATTATTGAATTGGTGCAATCGGTTTATAGTTAAATAATTTCTTCATTTGGGCTATTGCATTTTGTTCTATATTTTACTAGAGGACTAGCAAAATCTTAGGCTTAAAGATGTGATAACTCTATTTTATAGAGTTATTTTGATATATTTTGGGATTAAGTAGCTAGATCTTTAAGGTTGTAAGTTAGGATTTTAGCATTTTAGGTGTTTTTCTAGTTTAAGTTAGGTTATATGTTGAGAAGTTAATTCAAGTTATTTTAGTGTAATTTTACTTTATTTTGCTTTAATTTACTTTAAGAAGAGTTATTGTTGATTTCTCTCATAGTTTTGTGCAGGATATTTGATGATAAAGGTGCATTTTATTTAAAATCGCACAAGTATGGTGAAGGCTTCATTCATACATGCTGTAGATAACTTGAGCTAAAAAAGTTCAATTAATGAGATTCTTGGTCTATTAGAAAGCTAGAAGAATACGGCTACAACTTTCATGTTAATCACTTCCCCCATTTCGGATCCGATCAAGGTGAAATTGCATTGGAAGATGATGGACAGTTGCAGTCCTACACAACATGTTGATTGGAGGTTGCGACCTTAAGCTACTTAAGGCTACGGCACTAAGGGAGTTAGGGCTGCAATGCTTGGTAGATTGTGGCCGTGACACTAGACAATTGGAGTGCACAATACAAATTGCTGAGGCCAGAGTGCTGTGGCATTGAAAAAGTAACAGCGCGGTGTTACAAAAGACTGCCACCGCACCATGGCACCAAGGAAGCATGGCCGCTATACCACACTGTTTTCCAAAAATAAAATTTTGATGGAAATATGGAAATTAGGTTAATTTGAACCTATTTAAAGGACTTTTTCAGAGCATTTAAAAGAAAGAATTGCATCAACTTTTTTTGAGACTTGAGCTAGGAATCATGCAAGAGATCAAGAGTTATTGAGAGAGATTCAAGATCAACAAAGCTTCAACATTAGGTTATTTATCTCTTTTGTGTTATATTTATTTCTTTGGTTTGAATTCATGACTAAATTTCTTTGGATATTGTTTTATTTAGATATCAGGAACTAATTTGTTAATCTAGGATTATGGTGGATTTCAACAAGTAGTTTGAATATTAATTTCTCTTTTATTTATTATGAATGAGTATAGTTTTGCTTATTCAAATCTATTCTTAATACTTTTAATTGTCTGGCTAACAATTAACTGATTTGTCAATTTAATTGAAACTCGACAGAGAGATTGTAGATTGGAGTAAGATTTGAACAGTGTATATCATATCACTTAAGTGATATGATTCACGATTCGGGTAGATATATGCCAATTGCTATACATATCTAAATTAGGACACTGGCTTAATAAACTTAATTAAATTGATTCTTATAGACATATCATGAATCAATCAAATTAGATATTTGTGCAAGCATCTCGATGATGACTTGTACATAATCTTGTATCGTAGGTTAATAAAACCACTCAGGAAGATAAATAATAAAAAAAGCTGGTATCAAATGAAGTGTTAAATGAACCTATAATCTTAAGTTTTTTGTCTACTATATTTCTCAAGTGTATTTAATTTCTATTGGTTAATTTAGTGTTTATTTAAATTTTATTTTTCTGTAAATTTCAGTTACTTAAATAAGATTGATTTATTATAAGATTTTAGTACTTAGTAAAAATTTAGAAATAAATCCCTCTCGAACAATACTCTACTTCTACTATATTACTTGTTTGCGATAACGTGCAATTGCATGAAAATTCAACAACAATTAGAGTTGTTACATGCAAACATGGCATGTAACACCTTTAGGTAGTGCTCTAATTTACAGATTTCATTTAACTTATAATTTCAACCCATCAACTTTTGGGTTTTGTTATTGTAAACCAATTGTGATTTTTCAAGAAAATTTTGTAGAAAAATAAGAACTTTGAAAATTTTTTTTAAAAAAAGAAGAAGATGAATAGAGTAAGGGATTAACAAGTTTGGAGGAAAAAACTTTCTCCCATCTTCATTTAGATATTTTTACATATATAGTTATAACTACAAAATATCAAAAACAACCTAATCCGTAGATATAGGCTCAGAAAACAAAAAAAAAAATCCCAAAACATTGGTGGATTGCACAACCAAAAACTTAATTTACTATGGTCTACAATAGCTAAAAAGAACATAAAAAGATACTAGAAGCCTAAGCAAATGTTACAAACTTTAATAAAGATGTTACACGCTAAAGCTTTAGCAACAAATGTTATACGTTAAGATCAAAGCTTTAGCACCAAATATTACACTTTAAAGCTTACTTATTCCTACTGATGTTACACACCAAGTCATAAATTACTTTATTACATGCCAAGACATGTTCTAACAGACTTAAATCACAGAAAAACTCAACACCAATAAACTCAAGAACATGTTGTTACTTGCCATGCTATACTCTTTAGTCTGTTAAATCGACGATGATATGATGAGATGATGAGCAATAGACAGAGATAAGGCTTTGTGAATATAAACCACTAAACCTAAGAACATATTGTTACATATCATGTCATGCTCTTTGATATGTAGATTGACGACAATATGGCAAGATGACAAGAGATAGACAAAGAGAGATGGTGATGGCAGTAAATTAAAAAGAGCTAGATGGCAATAGAGAAAAATGAGGAGTATAGTAGACAAATGGCAAAAGAAAGAAATTGAGAGTATTTAATTTGTCTGAAATGATTTTAAATGTATTTTTGTCAAATCATGATAAAAGTTGAGTAAAAACAGTTAACTTTATATTGAAGGTCATTTTTAAAATGGGCTTATCAGGTTAGTTATTTCTCACAATTTGCTCAAAATTTAATATCATATTGTAGTTTTAAAATGGGCTTATTAACAAAGTTTTAGTTTTGGATTTAACTATTAACTCAATTATTTTGTTTTTTATTATGTTATTCATAATATAGAATAAAAAGAGTTTTTTAAGAAATTTAAATTAATTAGATCACTATTTTCTTTTTATTTTAAAAAATATAAAACAGATAAGTTTTCAGTTTCCTCACTCATCTCGATGGTTTATATTTAGGATTGGACCGATGAAAAATTATAGGTGTTCGAATTTGAGAATTTATACTCTCGAGACAAACGAATTAAAGGATTGAATAACCTCCTTGTTGATTAAATTCCTATTTTATTAACAAACTTATTTTCCTATCAGACAGCTTGTGTTTTTCTACATCAATAAGGAAAAAGAAAACAACTTACTTTAATACAAAAAAAATCAATTGCTTAGATAGTTGTTAAATATAAGATGAATAAAAAATTTTGAAATTGTGTAACCTTCGTGAAACCTACATTGAATGATCCCATGATTCTTAATGCTCTCTCTATGCACTCATTCTCAGCCAAACGAAAGTTTATCAACAAAAATCAGTGGCACATAGGCTTATATAACATGAAACAACACTCAGAAAAAAGAAACAGAGGTTAAAAAAAGGGGAAAACAGAAAAATTATGGCAAAAAATTTGTTGATGTATGCAATTGGGTTAGAATTACTTCCAATTTTTGTTTGTTAAATTTTATGTCTTTATTCTTTTTTGGTAAAATTGGTTGTCAGATTATGGATGAAGGCACATAATCTGACAACTTTGATGTATCCCTATACAAATGTGGGAGTATTCCATTGAAAAATCTTGCTGGACAGTGCAAGAATATCCTCCCTTGGAAACTAATTAATACAACCCAATAACAAGAAGGTCCGTCCAGATAGGGTCAAGTTAGGAATAAAGATACGTATAGCTTCACAAGAGAACCTGGATGCACCAACATGAATTAAATACCTTGGAACAGAAAAAAAACATAGCCAAATAAATGCATGTTATAATTATTATAATTAGTTTAAATTTTGAGACCAAGCTAGCTATATAAACCTTACGTTAGCTTGTACATGTTTGCTATTGTTTGATTAGCACCATCATTGTTTATCGACAAGCTTCCAATACGGTTCATCAATGGCGAACCTCGGAGATCTAAGACGCTCGGCTAACCGTATAGCTGAAAAGTTTGTGCCCACTTCAGATTGGACTCAGGACGCCAAGGGCAATTATCTCTTTGTTGATCTTCCAGGTACAAAACTTACAACTACATCTTTATTTATTTATTTATTTATAAGATTAAATATTCTTATTTTTTAAGTTTTAATCGAAATTACATGAAACTTTATTAATTTTCGAAATAAACACTCTGTTTCAAGAAAATATTTTTTATTGAACGTGTAGATTCAATTATTAGTCAACCATTAGTATTTCCATCAATTTGCTGACATGATAATAGTAAGTCGAAAATTTTACTCTTGATTAATTTTGAAAATTACTATTACATAATTTTATTATTTTTTTATTCATAAAAAAATAACCTCCCAAGATAGGGAGTACTAATTAGTAATAATAATTTTTAAATTAATAAAAAAAAATATTTTAATTTTTTTTTAATCTATGTTAATGGTGTTTGTATTTTTGGGTGAGGTGTTCATTTTCAAAATTAATAGTGCTGTTTGAAATTTCGATTAAAAGTTAAAAAATTGAGGTATTTTACCCTTATATTTATCACTTACGCCAAGGGGCGATGATCATTAGGCTTCAAAAAGGAGGAGTTGAGACTTGAGCTTACTTCCACTGGTCATATAAACATCAGTGGAGAAAGGGCAGTGGATGAGAACAAAAGCATATATTTCGTGGAAACCTTGGCACTGCCTGAAAACTCAGATACGGATAACATCAGTGGCAATTTCGACGGTGATTTTCTCCACGTAACAGTCCCAAGGAGACCAGTTGTAGAAGAAAATAAACAAGAGGATGATGAGATCACAAGGAATGAAAATGGCAATCCCACTGCAGAAAAGACCAGTGTACAAGAAGAACCTAACAACAACGAGGAGAAAGGAGATGTCAGCAAGGAAACTAGTTACCTCCGTGTTGCCAGTCTTCCATTGGAGATGGCGATGAAGTTCCTTAAGAAGAATAAGGGGGCTGTTCTTTCGGTTGCTATAGCGTTTTCGATTGGGATGTTGGTGTGTCGAACGTTTGAATCAAGTGCTGCTGAATAACTCAGGAAGCAATTTGATTGCCATTCATGTCAGTAAATAAACTTAATTATCTACGATATGATGCATGTAAAGAATACAATAAAGCTGAATTTCAATTGAAAAAACCTCCATTTTCTTGTCCTTTGGATTTTCCCAATGAGAATAAACCAACGATCAAGGACATCAATAGAGAAATGTACACCAATCAGATAACTAAAAATCGATCTTCTTCTTCGTTTCTAACTAAAATGTTACATTTGATGTGTGAGGATCCAACAACTCATAATCTTATAACTTTCTTTAAAATCACTTGGATTTTGACTTCACCCCCTGATTCCGAGGCAAATTAATGTGCAAGTGCTCCATCGGAAAATCTTCTTGGACGGTAAAAGAATAACTCCTTTCTATCCTCCACTGGAAACTAATTAATACAAGGCAAGACAACGTGGTCCAAACATGAACATGGGGTAAGTTAGGAATATTCAGGATGCATACTTCACACGAAAACATAGCTATATATTTTCAGTCCCAGCCCAATAAGTTATACCTGGTAAGGTTTGGCATCGGTAAAGCTTCATTGACATACTTCTCTCAAAGTTTCATATTGGAACAAGGGCAACCGAAGAGTTTGTTCCTCATTGGAATTGGACAGAAGACTCAATGGGCCATTATCTCTCTGTTCATCTTCCTGGTACCCAATCAACATCTTTATCTCATTGTATTCCTTTTGACACAATCACTTCAATATTCATCAATTGATCAAGAGTTCAGAGTAGGGATCATGAGAAATCTTTTTCTTTTCCTTCTTGCTTTAACCCCTTCTAGCTCTAGGCAGGTTTCTGTTTGCCTCTTTCAAATTCGTTCTCCCCAAGAAAAGCATGGCATTGATTGTATAGGATGACAAGCATTTTGTGCTGAGAAATTAAATGTGTTTGTCCAGATTCTAGGCAAAAGCTCCCCAATTTGTTGATGAAAACATCATCCTTGAGTAGCCCTAAAGAATGTTCTTCAATTTGACGTGCAACTACATAAGAAAGCCCGAATTCATGCTTTAATCAACACTAAATCACCATTAAAATTAGGCAGAGTCCGTTGCAGAGGTTCCTTGAATAGCAGCTTTCCAAATTGTTTCTTTATTTAATTTTGATAGAGCAAGCTAATATTTAGTTTCTTTGCAAACGTAAGAATTCAAAGGGACTACTAACTTGAAGTTAAGAATGCTGATCGAAAGTGATGACAGTCCTCTGTCTCATGGGATATTTTTAGGTTTCAAAAAAGAGGAGATGATGGTTGGACTTGCTTACCCTGGCTATGTCACAATCAGCGGGGAGAGGACAGCAGATGATGACAAATGCATATACTTCGGGCAGGCCATACGACTGCCAGAGAATTTAGATATGAATAAGATAGGTCAAAAGTTTGAGGGTGAAATGCTCTGTCTAACCTTCCCAAAGAGAGCAGAAGAAAAGGATAATGAAAATGCTAACCCCGTTGCACAAGAACTAAGCAATGATGAAAATCAAAGGAAACACGATGAAGGACATGGCCATGATGGGAACGAAGAAAAGAGCGAGCAAACTGATCATCATGCTCTGAGTTTTCAGAGAGAGATGAGAAAGAAGGGAAGTATATTAGAGAGGGCTATCGATTTGTTTAGAAACAATATTAGTCTTACAATTGTTTTAGCCTTTTCATTGGGAGTGTTCGTGTCTCGAAGGTTTGAATCAAAAGGAGAGTAAACCAGCAGTAAGATTAACATGCTCTGTTCATAATTTATGTTTAGAAAAACACAGACACTAGCATTAACATCTTTGATCCCTGTAAATTCCTCCATGACATGCATCTGGTAATTATATAATTATATCATGAAAAGTTGACATGAATTACATCATGTATATTACATCAATCACAACTCAGAGAAATAATTTGCGAACTAATTAAAGTAGATTGTGTGTGTGTGTGTGTTTTGCATGTTAAGATGAGCAAAAATATATTAAACTTGCTATTCTAAAATTTGAGATAGGAGCATTCAGTTCTGCTACTAAAAGTAGATCTAGGTCTATAAGAGTATCAAGTGAAAGGCATTATATTCTTAAAAGGAAAACAAAAGAACAATCGAAAGAGAAAAGAGGAAGATGCATAAGAAACTGCAAGTTCAACAGGACAAGGATCAAATCTAAAACCAGCTTGATCACAAAGCCAAACATCTCAAACTTTGTTTCCCCTATTTTAGGCTGATTAAGCCAATAAAACATGTCACATCTTATAATAATATGCAAAAGTTAATTCCAGAAATTGCTTAGGTTTTTATGTTGAAAAGATAATGCATGCATCTAATTATAGGGAGGGAAAATGCATCAAATTTGTGTCTTTCTTCCTTTGCTGGAAGCAGATGCTGTTCGTCAAATAAAATAGATTTGGATCTGTCGTCAAACCTGGAAAAGAAAACAAAAAAAAAAAAAGAGTCCATTCTCATTGATGTAACACAGATACTTCAACTAAATGGTATCATGATCATCATCTTCTTAAATGAACATGTATGTAGAATGGAATCAAGAACCTATCTTAAAACACAATCGAATCTAAAGTTTATTTTCTCTTCATTATACAACTTCTTTACAATAAAATAGAGCAATATACCTCAGTGGAAACTTATTTCGTACGACAGGTTATAGAGGGCTTAAAGCCCCAGATAAATTTTAAGTACAGAACTATAGATGGAACTGAAATAAATCAAAATAGAGGAATAGAGAGATGGCACCAATTAATTGGCTATTCCTGTTCTCACCAATATTCTTCTGTGTTGCGGACACCTTTTGTTGATCTAATCCACTAACCGCTCACAAAAACATGACAAAACCAAGCAGCATCTGTTCAAAAATTACTTTATCCTATAGGATCAGATTCCATAAGCAGTCCACCAATTCAAAAAGGGCAGAATACCACCTCCTAAAGAAAAACTTGGGAGGGAGAAGCTTCTTTGACATGCGTGCCAAAAGTTGTGAACTATGTTCCCAAATAAGAAAGTTTAGCATTGGTTGGTGGGGTTTTATGCTTAAGAAGCTTTGGGGGTGATTTAGAATTTCTAATTGTCAACAAGAGATTGTTCAACCTTATGAGTCACATCCCTTGTGTTGTTGAAGTCAGCTTCATGTGACTTTAGTAACCTGGTGTCTCAAAGAATAACAAAATTGCCTTTAACCAAAAAGTAAATAGAAAAAGAAAAAGTAAGTAGACATTGGTGGATTCATTATATATATATATATATATATATATATATATATTGATAAAATCACAACTCACTGGTTTGTATATTTTTTATTATCCCCCTTCCTTCCTTTCCTTATTAAGAAACAGGATTTGAAAGATTTGGATTGGGAACTTTACTTGACATGGTTAATAAAGTTAGAGCTCAAAAGCTTTAGCTTGATGCTGCAAATTGGTTAGACTAGTGAATTTGTTGAGAGCAAAATCTAGTAGGAAAGTGAAGGGAAACATAATTTGAGGGAAGAAAACAAATGCTAGAGAGGGCAGAGCAGCTTCATGAACACAAGTGCATCCAGCGATGGATATGATAAGTAAAAAAAGGTAAGCATTTGGTGTTGACAAGGGAAACAGAGAAGGAATAAGAGGAAAATAAAGGTGATGCTTTGTGGGGCAAGCTTTATTCAAAAAAATGTGGGTGCTTTTGACAAAAAGGATAGAGGGCCATGGTTTGGAGGTGGAAATGGAATCATGTGCCTTGCAGGGGCATCCAACCAATGGTGCTTGTATGACCGCGTGACAGGTTTCATTTCCTCAACCCTAGTCATGTTTGTATCCCAAAATCCTCCCTCGACTAATTCATTCCACTGTTACTATCATAACAGGTAAGTAGAGAAATTAGAAAAGAGGCTAAGCCATAGGATAGGGGCATAATAACATACTAAAATTTCAACTTTTTGCTCCTAAGCCCCAAGAATTCATTCGCCTAATAAATGCAACAATAGTAAACGAAGCAGAAAAGAAAACATAGACAGAAAAAGAAAAACCACAGCATTACTTACAGTCAGCCTCGGATGAGATGTAAGCATAGAGAGAAAATGTAGCTCGGTGTACCAATAAAGCTGGGCTTGGTTTGAAACAAAGGCCGCCACAAATGTTAAGGCGCTACCAAGCAAACAAAGAAGAAATAAAAGAAAGAGGGTGAGTGGAAAACGAAGGAACCCGTGAAGGAGGGAAAGCCAAAAGCGCCCCTTAACCCAAAACCTTGCGAGGGAGAATGGAATCTCATTTCCCACTACCTCACCAGTCACCAACATGCATTGCGCACAAACATTCTCTCTCAAATCTAAAATCACCCGAATAAAATGATTAAAAAAAATTAAGAATCAAAACTATGCTTTGCAGACCGCATATTAAATCCAAAATTCAAAAGGCAAACCTCAAAAGCACATCGCCCTCCTCTCCGCTATCAACGCTCTCTCTCTCTCTCTCTCTCTCTCTCTCTGCGCCCCCTCGACACCCCCCCACCCCACCCCAAAAAAAAAATCGCAAAAGAAATTGCCGTTTTTTCCTTCTTTACTTGCCCAAAGCTCACTCAACCACTTCTTTCCCCTTTACTCCCCCAGAATCAAAATGAGACCATGACGACGTCGTCTCAGCAGCCTCCACTGCAGCCACCCACGACGGTGCGGAAAGTGATCGTGGAAGTGATCGACGCGCGTTGATCTTCTTCCCAAAGACGGTCAAGGAAGCTCCAGCCCTTACGTCATTGCCGATTTCGACGGTCAAAAAAAGAGAACTTCCACAAAGTACAGGGAACTTAACCCGGTATGGAACGAGGCGTTGGAATTTACGGTGTCCGACCCGGAAAATATGGATGTCGAAGAGCTTGAAATTGAGGTTTTCAATGATAAGAAATTCGGGAATGGAAGTGGCCGTAAAAATCACTTTTTGGGGAGGGTCAAGTTGTACGGGAGCCAGTTTGCCAGGCGAGGTGAGGAAGGGTTGATTTATTTTCCATTGGAGAAAAAGAGTGTTTTCAGTTGGATTAGAGGTGAGATTGGGCTTAAGATTTATTATTATGATGAGATTGTTGACGATCAGCCTCCGCCGGAAGAACCATCACCTCAGCAGCAACAACAGTCACCGCAGATGGAGGAGCCGAAACCTTCTCCCGGGCTTGTTGTTGTAGAGGAAGGTAGGGCTTTTGAGGTTCCTACTGCACACATGGAGTTTCCTCATGGAGCTCATGGCCATGGTCAGGGTCCTATCCCATGTTATCCTTCGCCGCCTGCTGTGGTCGTCGAGGAGTCACCACCGCATGTTGTTCATGTTCATGAGGAGCCGCCACCTCCGGCGGAGGCAACGGCTTTGCCACCACATATGGCGTCCGGAATTCCGGTCTCTGAGGTGCATTTTACCGTACCGGAGGTGAGGAGGATGCAGAGTAACAGAGGCGAGAGAGTTAGGGTTTTGAAGAGACCGCATGGAGACTATTTACCTAAAGACATTGGAGGTAACAAAACTCAAGCTGACAATGCCGTCGCTGCCGGGGCCGGTAGCGCCGAGAGGATCCATCCGTTCGATCTAGTTGAGCCGATGCAGTATTTGTTCGTTAAAATCGTTAAAGCCCGTGGATTGGCTCCAAACGAATGCCCTTACGTTAAGATCCGTACATCCAGCCATTACCTCAAATCGAAGCCGACGATTTACCGTCCAATGGAGCCAACAGACTCGCCCGAGTGGCGACAAGTGTTCGCTTTAGGTTATAATAAACAAGAATCAGTCACAGCGACGCTTGAGATCTCCGTTTGGGACTCTCCGACGGAAACTTTTCTCGGCGGCGTTTGTTTTGATCTTTCAGATGTTCCAGTCCGAGAGCCTCCAGATAGTCCTTTAGCACCGCAGTGGTACCGGCTCGAAACCGGGGCGGTTGATCAGAATTCAGGTGGGGTTTCCGGTGATATCCAGCTGGCTGTTTGGATCGGTACTCAAAATGACGACGCCTTCCCTGAAGCGTGGAGTTCAGACGCACCATACGTGGCACACACTCGGTCGAAAGTTTATCAATCCCCAAAGCTTTGGTATTTGAGATTGACTTTGATCGAAGCTCAGGATCTCCAAATTGCGCCGAATCTGCCTCCGTTAACAGCGCCAGAAATTCGAGTGAAAGCGCAGCTAGGGTTTCAATCCGTACGGTCAAGGAGAGGAAATATGAACAATCATAGTATGTCAGTGCACTGGAACGAGGACTTAATCTTCGTCGCCGGCGAACCTCTCGAAGATTCGTTAATTTTGTTAGTAGAAGACCGTACGAACAAGGAGGCCACTGTCCTTGGCCTCGTCATGATCCCATTGATCTCAATCGAGCAGCGGATAGATGAGCGCCACGTGGCACCAAAATGGTTTGGTTTGGAAGGAGGAGCAGGCGGTGGAGGTGGGCCCTACGGCGGGAGAATCCACCTGCGGCTGTGCTTAGAGGGTGGCTATCACGTGCTGGATGAAGCGGCGCACGTGTGCAGTGACTTTAGACCCACAGCTAAGCAGCTTTGGAAGCCGGCTATTGGGATTTTGGAGCTGGGGATTCTTGGGGCTCGCAGCTTGCTCCCGATGAAAACCAAAGGCGGAGGCAAAGGGTCCACTGATGCTTATTGTGTTGCGAAATATGGGAAAAAGTGGGTCCGCACAAGGACTGTCACGGACAGCTTTGATCCACGCTGGAACGAGCAGTACACGTGGCAAGTCTACGACCCCTGCACTGTCCTTACTGTCGGGGTTTTTGACAATTGGCGTATGTTTGCAGACGCGTCAGAAGACAAACCAGACTCCCGTATTGGCAAAATACGGATACGCATATCTACGCTAGAGAGTAACAAAGTGTACACCAACTCGTATCCATTGTTGGTTTTGACAAGAATGGGGTTAAAGAAAATGGGTGAGATTGAACTAGCGGTTCGGTTCGCCTGCCCGTCATTGTTACCGGACACATGTTCGGCTTATGGCCAGCCATTGCTTCCAAGAATGCATTATCTCCGCCCACTCGGGGTGGCTCAGCAGGAGGCATTGCGCGGAGCTGCCACGAAGATGGTGGCACAATGGCTTGCAAGGTCAGAGCCACCGTTGGGGCAGGAGGTGGTAAGGTACATGTTGGATGCGGATTCTCATACATGGAGCATGAGAAAGAGTAAGGCTAATTGGTTTCGGATTGTGGCAGTTCTTGCATGGGCGGTGGGGTTGGCAAAATGGTTGGATGATATTAGGCGGTGGAGGAACCCAGTTACCACGGTGTTGGTCCATGTCCTGTATTTGGTGCTTGTTTGGTACCCGGATTTGATTGTGCCAACGGGGTTTTTATATGTGGTGTTAATTGGAGTTTGGTATTACAGATTTAGGCCCAAGATACCAGCTGGAATGGATATCAGGCTGTCCCAAGCTGAAACAGTTGACCCGGATGAGCTGGATGAGGAGTTTGATACAATTCCGAGTTCAAAGCCACCTGAGCTAATCAGGGCCAGATACGATAGATTGAGAATATTGGCTGGAAGGGTTCAGACGGTTTTGGGTGACTTTGCAACCCAGGGTGAGAGGGTCCAAGCCCTGGTGAGTTGGAGGGACCCAAGGGCCACAAAATTGTTCATTGGGGTCTGCTTGGCCATCACTCTGATACTTTATGTGGTGCCACCAAAAATGGTGGCTGTGGCATTAGGATTTTATTATCTGAGGCACCCCATGTTCAGGGATCCCATGCCGCCGGGTAGCTTGAACTTTTTTCGGCGGCTTCCCAGCTTATCGGATCGGTTAATGTAGAGATGAAGAGTAGGTGCATATATTATAAGTAAATTTTTAGATACCAGATTATGGGGGGTATGGTGGGGAAGAGGGTGGAACACAAACAACTGTTTGTGTTGAAAAAGTTGTCCCCAAATAACATTGTAAGGAGTGAAAGTGGGATTAAAGGGGGAAGCGGCAAGTTGTCATTACATCTCTTTATTTATTATTTTCATTTTTATTTTATGTTTTTGTTTTTCTAGTATTGCAATTGAATGACTGACTATTGGAGACTTGGAATAAGAGAAGGGAGAGGGGGGAGAAAATTGCGTGTTGAGATGAAAAAGGGGATTTTAAACGGCTCTGCTAGTGATTATTGTATGTACCCTTGTAAACACTGAAATCGCTTTCTAACATATAGAAACCCTACCTTCACTTGCTTTTGTTCCTTCTATCCTACCTACTATCATCTGTCTACTTTTTCCCACCCAGAAAATGCAGTTTTCATTCATGCTTTCTTTCCTATTATTTTCATCAGCAATTGAACCCTGAAAAACGTGGAATCCTTTAAAAGCTCTTCCAAGCCATTTTCCTAATCTCCATCTTCTTTTCCATGGCTTATGCAAGTGTTTAACTCCTCTTTTTGAAATGGTATCATCAGCAGTGGCGGGAAAACTGATTTTTCCAGTCCCCAGTGCTTTCTCATGCAATGGGGTCAATATAAAATTTAGTGGGCTTGCAGAATCCATTTGAAACATACGCTACGAATGCCCCAAGGTGTCAGAAAGTAACAACATTTTGGGACAAGTCAACGTGTATGCTGGGCACTTGGCAGCTTTCACGACATATTTTTCCAAACATTTGACTTGAAGTCCAACCAGTAGGGCTAAGCATGCATAGTCCCGTTGCTCCACATTTCTTAATAATCCTGGTTCTTCATCACCCTCAATGGGCCGAATAATCTAGATGAATGGGCCTAGCCCTTTTAAAAATGTCCATTCATAATCCAAAACCTCTAGTAGCTAAATACAGGCAGACGATGTTTACCATACAAGCACTTGGTGCTTTCACATGTGGATATTCATTATTCTCGCTGAAACAGAAGGCACCTCAGCCATTAGTTTGATTGGTTAACATCGCACTGCTAAAAATAAGGTCAAGATCACAGATTATAAAAGGCAAGATCAGTGAACTAACATTATAACCCTGCGCCCTGCATTTGTTTCAAGGGTGGAAATCAACACCCCTAGAAGTACAACAACTGAATTTCATTGAGATCCCAGATCTGTCATTATTTTCTTTTACTTGATTCACTTATCTTTTAGTATTGCTTCGGTTTAGAATGTAGAAAATGAATGCAAGAAGAGCCGAAAATGTTGCATCTGTTTAATTTGCATGTATTTATCAACACTTCCAACTATGGAGCAATTATGCTCCATACTAAAAAAAATTCACCAGCATTCCATAAAATTATAGACACACCCTTCATTTTCTTTGCACTTTCCAATTTATTACTTGTTTGCCTTGGTGCTCGGAGTATTGTAATCAAACTTTGTTTTGCATTTACAGAGGAAGGCTCAATAATTTAATACCTATATATAGGAAACTATGGGAGAGACAGCGGATTCTAAGAAACATGACGATCATAAAGAAAAAGAGAAGAAGCATGAGAAAGAAGAGAAGCACGAGGGAGAAGATCGTGATAAGGAGGATAAGGGAAAGAAAGAGAAGAAGCAGAAGAAAGACAAGGACTGTAAAGATAAGGAGGATAAGGAAGATGGTGGAAAGGAGAAGAAGGAAAAGAACCATGAAGGTAAGAAAAACCCTGAGAAATTAAGGGCTGAGCTTCAAAAGATAGAATCCAAGATACAGGCATTAACCCAAAAGAAAGAAGAACTTTTAAAACTCCTCGATGAAGTCGAGAAAGCTGCTGTGAAACCAAGTGGTTGAGCCTGGCAAACCTCCTTACTCTCTTTAGGTGGCAGTTGCTGCATGAAATGCAAGGGCTTCAAATTTAGGAACTGTGTGCATATGATACATTTGACAATAACACTGTATTTTCTGCTGGAACTTTGCTGTAAACAAAGAAATCAACTCATAATCATCTTGTGTACTCTGATAATTAGAAGCTGATAGCAATTTATTTGTTTTCAAACAGAGTAACTCAGTAAAACATACCAAAACAAGGCAATTGACTGACTGATAATTCGATGTTGGGAATGAAGCTTGGTCCGGGAGCAATGCACTAAGTTAAAGAGCTTCCATTGTTCCCGGATCAAGCTTTATTCCAGACATCGCAAGTATCTGTTAACCTTTGTGTCCTTAGAAGCAGCTGATCCAATGCCTACAACCAAAAGGCTATGGCACAGTTGTATACAATGGGTATCTGACTCCTCCCTTCTTATGTGGTTCTGAACAGTTGGAGATATTATCTTGCTCCACTCAGGGTTTGCTCCCGAACGTAGAGGTGCAAGATTCATAAGCTGCATGTTGATCAAAGTCATAAAAAACAGGAAAAATATTCCCAATTACCAAGTAATTGACCTCCCACTAATGTCACTTTGATTAGAAAGAGATGATTAAGTTGGTGAAATTTTGACTTTTTATCGAGTATTGATATGATACTTTACAAGGTAATGCAATGAATAGAAAAGGATCAAAAAATGACCAGATTCTCAGGTTTGGAATAGGAGAAAAACAACTTGCTTAATGAGACAAAAGCCAGGGGAGAAGCATTCAATTTCCATCTTAATTTCTTCCATAAAAATGTTAACTCTCGCGATATGTGAAGAATGGAGGACATTCATTACAGGCACTAAGTTTTGGAATGCAGAACCAACCCACATCACAGTTTTGTACTTGAAAATATGGAACCGGCTACGGTGGATGTAATTTGAAAGCACCCTCTTTATTGCTATGGTGAGTGTACTGAGTGATGCCAAAAGAATCATTGCATTTTGGATCAAAGAACGGCTAGAAATTAATATCCCCATTTCATCTAGACTGACTGGATCATCATTAAACATATTTTTAGGAATGTGTTCGTAGTATGCTTTTAAAGTACATTTTATCCTTATTATCTTGCTGCTGGAGCTTTAAAGTGCATCCAAGGAACAATTGGTCACGATTTGTCATGCAAAATTTGCAAAAATGTTGACTTCACATTCTGTTTCTATATATTCACATTTCATGGTTATTTGTTCGTACAATGTGACTTTATGCCATTGATTTATAGAGAAGTAAAATATGTTGGGAATGTTAAAGAATGATATAAGCAATGCTCCAATGAAAGTGTCATAGTGACGACAGTAAACATATTCCATGGTGATAAATCACTCAAAAACCATGGCTTCCATTGTTTGACATAACCAATCTCTTCTTTAGCATTCAACTCTTTTTCAACATATATTTTGAAGGAGATAATTTAACAAAAACTATTTCTTTTGTTATTTGATATACGTTGATATGATGGGGTTTTTATCAAAAACTAGTCGACTTAACCCTAAGAATTTTATGGTGTGAAAGAATGTAAAAGACAAGTCCGAAGACTGCAATACCTCCTCTTGGCACCCAACTTCGTTTTCTCTGCCGAAGACTCAAGTGAGACTAGAATGGGTTTGTGCAAGGCAAGTGCAGTTGTCCAGTTGAGCTTGCAGTCTGTTCCGTACTTCCATCTGATTTCAACAGGATAGGTTGACATAAAGAGTGCAACAGCTGGATACAACATTGGATTTTGAGACCCACAAATCAAGCTTCATTGTTAGTAAGTGGGGTACAAGACCCTAGAAAGTATAGGCCAATAAACTTGAGCTGAGCTTGATATTACATAAAGTCATTTCTACTTTCCAGTAAAACTTTCACATTGAAAACTAATTTAGCTAGTTGATTCTCAGAAATAAACATGCTGCCAATTTTTCACATGGGTAGTGTACTGTGCTATTGGCTTGACTTAGATTGTGTACATGTCTGCAACCGTTTCAAGGAATAAAATGAATCCCACGTCTTCCTCTGCATCCTTGCTTTACTAGAAAAGTAGGAACATCGTGTAGCTGTCAACTAATAAAGAAAATACTAGAATAAGTAGCTGTCAACTAATAAAGAAAATACTAAAATAAATAAATTATCTTTCGGACTGGACAGGGGATCGGATGGGAAAATACTTTTACCTCATAGTTTGAGAAAAGCACTGGCAAAATGGAAAGTTGGTGTAGTTAAGAGACTTAGTAGTTAGGACATATTTTCATGGGAAATTTTGTATCTCCGATGGGACATGAGGAAAGAAAAAGATCCTATTCCTATGAAAAACCATAGGAAAGAGAGATCTTGGGAAATGTTGCGGAAATGCTGTGCAAGAAGATGATAAATTAACCTTGAATTTGACAGGATAAGGGAACCTTAATTCAAGAAAATATTGCACAGAAACAGTGGCATAATCTCCTCAGGAGTAAAAGAGCGCTGTTTTTCTACCCAGGTTATGCGAGGACTCCTATGGCATGCTGTTGCGGCTACTGCATACTGATTTTAAAGCAAATTCCAAAATTAGACTTACAAGATATTAAGTAAATAAACTAACAGGCTACAACAAGTCGCTACCATTTAGTAAAAACATACCTACAAAAGTAACTTAAAATGACTTTTGACCATCAGAAATCGTCCTCTTGTCACAAATGGCAATATCATAAAGGTTTCAAGATGTATTTCTGCTGGGATTTTCAGGACTTACGAAACTCTATTTGCAAAAGTATGTACACAGAAAAAACAACAAAGAGAAGCAAATCCCTAATAAACTTAGACAATACTGACTAAATTGAAGAGGAAAACATATGTTTCGTTGTCATTGATGTGTGTCAGCAGTTTTAAACAACAAAAGCAAGGCAGACAGTATGCTCTTCCTTCCCAAAAGGCTTCAACATTCTGCCATGGATAGTGCTATAAGTCACGAGCTGGTCTTAGTATTCAAACAGCATCCTTGGGCACTAAAAAGTCTTCAAGATGATCTCAACTTGAACCGAATATACAAAACTTTAAACAGTACATGGATAAACATTTGATTCAAACAATGACAGCATTATCCTTTAATCTTTGATCATCAGGTGCTAATTTCTATCAGCTGCAGAGGATGTGTCAGCAGGTTTAAACTTCTGAGGTTGATCAATTTGGTCTGTCGGATAGCATGTTTGAATTGTTGCTCTTTTCTCAGCCTGGGCTGATTTGAATTGCAGCAGACTTTCCCTCCAATAGTCCCAGAGTGGGAAATCTCATGAGCCTGGCATTTTCGATGGGCCATATAATTGAACATGAATTGGTTCCTGGAAATTTCGTTTTATACAGGGATCCTTCGTTTGTCACTACTTTGGAAACTTCCCTTTTGGCTGCTGCTTCTCGTTCTCAATAAATTTTCCCGAAACAAAAAAAAATTAAAACAGCTTAATGAAGAAGTTGAAATCCGCAGTTTAAAAGCTTGAACAACAAATTATCATGAATCCTGGTTTATACTTTGCTATAGGCAAAAAAGCTAGAGGTTGTAACATCTTTTGTTCTTTAATACATATTTAAAATTGTTTCTGGATAAGCACTTCACAAATACTTACCAACTGAATTTTGGTTAGATCTTCTCTACAAGGATTATGCTCAACGACAACCACTACAACTTCGCTACCAAAGTTTCGACTGGAGTTTTGACTTCTCATGCCAAAGTAATCTTTCCCCTCTTAGTCTTTCGATGTTTTAAATTTCTTTTCAGCATTCCGTTTCATGTCATTGTCTTTAGCTGAAATTTAAATTGGATAGATACTTCCATGCTTGCTCCTTGTTATCTGATAGGAGAAAGTGTCTAGAATTGAAAATGGAGAGTTTATTACCAATATACCATCCATGACCTGCATTTATACCTCTGATCATCTAGTTGCAGCTTGCAAAATTGAGTAGCTAGTTATCTTTCAACTATTGTATAATGTGGGATTCAGGTTTTACCAATGTGATTTGAGTTTGTTATAGAACATATATCAAAGAACTCCATAAATCAGTCTCAACGATTGCAAGACCAATGTCAATTTTCTTGCTTTGTACTTATGAAATCAAACTAGTTATACTTGCATCTATCTGTATATAGTGTCCATTGCAGAGAATCAATGAGCATTGGCCTCAATAGTGATGTTCTCTGGCAATGCCAACTCTGTAAACAGCAAGACAACTTTGTCCTAAGAAGGTGTATTCATGATTCTGTTGAAGGATCAGCCAAACAAATTAAGATTCATTATTGGAAAATGGAGGGAATACAAGGAGTTAAACCTGGCCCATTAGCTTAGATAAAACCCAAGTAGGAGTAAAAATAAACTGCCTGGAGCCTGCCCTTACTATAGATTCTTCTAAAGAATAACAAGCAGAAACCAATTCTCACTGTAGGATCAAACCTGCCTTTGCTTATCTTCGTGATCAAATAACTCCTATTGCAGAATATAGAAGAAGGGGCAAAAGAAATCGCTGCTCTCTGCTTAGGGAAAGACTTGTGGCAGATGTTGTAGTTCGTAGGAAATTGATCAGCTAATCATCTATTTCTTGACTTAAGGTTTTTATGGTGTTACAGTTGAAGAGATTTTGCCAGGAGTAAATACAGTTTTTAGAGTTATTATTCCAGATTCTGGTAAGGTACTGAACATCTTTCAAGCTTGTCATCTGCAACTTTCCTGTATCAACAGTTTATTACATTTTGCCTAACGATCTGGTTCATGTAATGCACCAATATCCACGAGAACCTATTATAAGAGTGCACAGTGCTTAATTCTTCTGGCAATGGTGATTGTAATAACAGGCAGAACTGCAATACTTGCGTGACTACGTGGGGTTTAGTGCCGGAGTAGGATTGAAGGCAAACCCTGCAACAGGGTTTGACCCCATTGCAAACATCTCGGGTGTAATAGGAAGCACTCTTGTCTCTCTTGGAGCCGACCTTGGCTTTGACATAACAGCAGGGACTCTCAACAAATTCAGTGCCAGTTTGAGCTTGAATACTGCCTTCCTCATTGCTTCCCTGAACTTGTGAGCAGTGCATATAAAATTAGAGAAGAAAAACAATAGTTAGAAGGAATTAAAAAATGACAGTTTCCGTTTTAACAATTAGCAATAGTAACATTCATTCTGCCCCTCCCCTTTTCCCCGCATTTTTCTCCTCGTTTATGGGAAGAAAAAAGAACCAATCAAAGTGCTTAATGCTCCTGGCTTTTCTGACAATGCAGGAGTGATAGTTTTGACAGTGCAAAGGCATCCTTTTACCGTGCGTTGAACCCCCCAACCAGGACTGCAGTTGCAGCTGAGTTGAAGCATAGGTTTTCGGAGGATGCAACAACTCTTACAGTTGGTGCGCAGCATGCATTGTTTCCATTGACATTGGTGAAGGCTCGCATGGATACTGATGGGAAGGTTAGTGCCGTTCTTAGGCAACAAGTGTGGCAAAGGTTCTATGTCTCCATTGCTGGAGAGATGAATTTAAGAGACAGCAATTATATTCCTAAAATCGGACTTTCTATGGCTCTCAATCCCTAGAGCAATTCATCATACTGAAGCTCTAAAGTGTCCCTGTGATGATTTTGTGTTATGAATCATAGTATTTATGTTCCTGGATGCAATCCAGTTTGTATATGTAATGGGGGATCGCAGAAGGTTTTCGTCCTTTACCAGTTAGAAATCAGTGAGGAAAGGGAGGTAATATATATATATATACAAGTTCCTAATATTAGTGATAAATAATGTAAAAGAATTGATGCAGAAAATTAAGTTGAGATGATTTTGATGCTGAGATGTAAAGTTAATTCCATATTGAAACAGTCGGCACTTAGCCATGGTGCAGAAAATTAAAGAATGCTTGGAATCAATTGCAGTTAAATGAAGGTTGGCATGTGAGAAAGAGAAATTAGTGAATGCTAAAACATTGAACATCTTCCTTTCGATTCCCTCTCGGAACAATGAACTTATTTGTAGGGAAACTTACATAGAAAGGCAGATGGCACACAGATTTCGATAAAAGATTTTTACCTTTGCCCATGGTGACAATAAACCAAGAGAAATCCAACATAAAGCCTCTCAATATCTATAAAAATAGAAAATCATGCAGCCCATGTACTTCACAAACCTTGTACGCTCATCTGTACACAAGTGCTCACACTGGACAAATGACAAACCACAATTAAACAAGAGCTAAGGCACCAAGAACTAAACAGGCAAATATTAAAACCCTTAATGCTTGTCTAAAGCAAAACCCAGTATAAGCCTTTGAAAAGTCATATAGTTACTGATGTGCAGCCTGGAGGAGTCCATCACGAATCTGAGTAGCGACATCACGAACAGCTCCAGGACCATGAGGGATGAACACAGCCGAAGATTTAGAAGCAGCACCAATTTCTTTCATGGTGTCAAAGTACTGGGTGACCAGGACCATGTCCATGACATCCTTTGCAGTCGTCCCAGGAACATTGACAGAGAATCCCAGAACACTATCTCTCAAACCATCAACAATCGCTTGCCGCTGGCGAGCAATACCCAGTCCTGACAAATATTTAGACTCAGCCTCACCTTCTGCTCGTTTGATTTGCAAAATTTTCTCAGCCTCCGCCTTCTCATTAGCTGCCACCCTCAGCCTTGCAGCTGCGAGTACAACACAATCAGAAAATTATATTAAGGAAACTGTTACAAGAAAAATAACCAAATGCCAGAAAGATGTCATATTTATGTTTAAATCACATTATAACAAGCTGGTCTTTGCAATAAAAAGACTAGGTACATTAAAATCACATTACAACAGGCAAATACTGAAAAGCTTCTCACCAAGTTGGTGAATGTAGAGCCATCTGGTTTTTTTGGTACAAAAAATATATATTTTATTGGTTATTCGTCCAGAAAAAATAAGAACCAGCAACAAGGCATGATTTGATAAGGAGGCATTATAAAAACACCCATTTAACAGATATCCATCTTGGTAATATACTATAAAGGTAAAATGACTAAAGCAATATCAGATGACAAGAAAGTTGGGAGTCCAATGCCAAAAGGTAAATTCATGAGACCTAGCTCTTCTTTTGGCTGTGAAATTCATAAGGCCTAGTGTTGCTCTCATATTTCTGCAGTATGATCTATTTGCTGCATGCATGCAGAATACAGCTAAGCAATGTCGTGCAGAGTTAGCCTACCCTAAACAACAGCAAATTTGAAAGTGCAAGAACCATGTAAGAGGTACTAACTATATTACCAGCATTAATTTCGTTCATTGCACGCTTCACATGCTCATCAGGCTCTATGTCCACGATAAGTGTTTGAACAATCTCATACCCATAGGCAGACATAGCCTGTTATAAAAAGAAGAAGGCAACAGAATTAGAAACATATTTACATATCAGCTTCACAATATTGCTGCAATTTAACATAACAAAGCCTTAGTCCAATCACATGGGCTTAGGGTTTAGAATATATGATCAATGTATACCTAATCAGGTTAATTACCTTCTCAAGTTCTTCTTCAACAGCTTTAGCAATTTCAGTCTTTTGTTCAAAAACATCATCCAGATTCAGCTTTGGAACACTTGCTCTAATAACTAAACATATTTATAGAAGTCAGCTAATATCCTTCACTTGAACAACTAAGTAATTGAACATCAGAAGATGAAATATTAAAATATTTTCCAATGTAATTTTAAATTTATGCACATGAATACAACTGTACTGAAGGGGTTCATACATTTTGCATGTGTGCATGTATGAGGGCAATGTGAATCTATACTCCACAAAAGTATTTTTCATACCATCAAAAACATAAGCTTGAATTTGTGTCCTTGTGTTGCTGAGTTTGTAAAAGGCATCGCTTGCCTTATCTGCTAGTGCACGGTATTGAATAGATGCAACAACATTGACAAATACATTGTCCTGATAAGATGGTCATAACAAAAAGTTAGTTTCTGCTGCACGACAGAGGCATATTATTGTCCACAAATAATATTACACAAATTTAAGCCACTTGAGAGTCAGATAACAAGAATTTTCAAGTGAATCTATTCCGCCAAAATATGAAAGGCCCCAAAAATAATCCTTTCATCCACCTTACCTTCCCACACCCAACCTCCCCTTGGAAGCCACCAGGGAGCGGTAGAGAAACTAATGAAAGAACAAAACTAGCAGCAAATACATCCATAACATGGCAGCATATGCTATAGTTGGAGAAAATAATAAAATTACACAATAACTAAATGGCAATTTATTGGAATGAATACTTCATCCTAAAACTTTAAGAGTTATACAGCAAAAAGAAGTCATAAACTGAAGAGGTACAACATTAAAAGCAATAGGCAGACCTTAGTCTTGGTCTCACAACGAACATCCAACTGCTGCAACCTCAGCGACAGGTGGCCAGCAAGCTGACTTCCAAGAAACCAAGGAAGGCAATGGCATCCAGGTTCAAGAACATCATCGAACCTGCCAAATCTCTCCTTGATGGCTACTGTAGACTGGTCAACTTGTACACAACAGAATAAATTACCCATTTTCTCTTTGATCTGAGAGTCCAACAGTTTGTATATCAGTGTAAAAGAACTCAAACAAATATCAGTGCTCTCTCTTAACTAGCATATTCCGGCAGACAACATATGTAATAAGTTTTGGTAGATAACCAACCACCGATCCATAGAACCAGCCTAAATTTTTTCAATTTATCTCAGGATATCGCAGAGAGAAAGATAAGAGCATATAAAAGGACTTAGAAGACTTACAACTTAACAAACGAAGGATGGCAAAGCAGAACAAAACTCTGAAGAGATAAGAGATAAACACACAAATATAATTGACTTAAATATATAGACTGCGGCAAGTTGGCTTGGAAAACTTCACAATACTTGCCACAAATTTCCAACACACATTCCTTTTTTGCAAATTATTAAAATTGTATGGCAAAAAAGAAGATAGCATTGACCCCTAAAAGGTAAGTCAACAGGAAATTTTATCCAGCTGCGTTCTTTCCTTGTACATGAAAGCAAAATATTTTATCATCTAAACTGTCCACACCATGTATCCAGCCAAATAATTCCCAAGGAGCTTCACCATATGACAAGAATCTTCATTTCATTTTAATGGAAAATTTTATGTTTCCATTTGACACACTTGACAACTTTAAGAAACCTTAAAATTCTCGTCGCGAGTTGTCTCTCATAGTAAAAATAAGCAACAAGGAAACAATAAATTCTCCATAAAATTATATTAAACTTTAAAAAAAAAACAAAAAAAAGCTTTTCCAGTTATCGGACTGTGACACCTATCTCTTGTTTGCCGGCTTCAGAGCTAAAACAACAGAATGGGTTTCTTGCATTAGGTCCATTGTCCTTGGTTTTATTGTTAAAATCAATTACAGAACTTATAATCATGATTCAATTGACAGAGAAAATTACATGAACAAGCATATTAACAAAAGAAAAAAAAAGGGGGGGTTGCTTTACAGGAAAAGGATATTGAGAAGAAACCCATAAGCAAAATTGAGACCGTAAAGAATAAGGGAGAAAAGCATCTTTACCTGATTTAATTGGAATTCCTTTTAGTATTATTATTAATTTTCCAAGAAGAAGTTGGAGTTCTTACACGGTAGGAGGAGGAAAGACAACTGAAAATGCGGGCTCAAAAAGTGTTGTTTTTTTATATTAAAAGAAAAAAAAAATCTTTGCCCCAGCGTAATTGCTAAGCAAATATTAATTAATTATTTTATATTTAAGATAATAACCTTAATTATTTACAAATGAAGACAAATCAATGAAATTATTGATTCTCGCTTGATTAACCTTTAAAAATTTGCTTATAGACCTGTTTTAAATTATTTTTTTAGATTAACATCTAGCAATGCATTATTAGCCATTCAATTGTTAAGAGAGTTAAAAGGTTCTTTGATAACTTTTCACTTTACAGTTTATTAGTATAATTCATTCTCTCATCATATATCTCAAAGATAATAATAGCTAGACATAGTACCTACTTTTATTGACTTCCATATTTATTTTTTCAGTTAGATCATTAATTTTATAGAGATTTACGAAACTCATTTCATAATTTTCTAATTATCTTGGCCCATGATATGATTAAGCTAATGTCAATCAATAAGTAATGAGATATTTTTCCTTGAATCATTCAAGGTGATGATTCCTATATTAATCACTCATTTACCTCTATATGTTTTATACTCAACTCAAAAAATCCTGTTTTGGCATCATTGGTTAAGCACTTGTAGAGATGAAATCAAAGCATAGTAATCTACATACAAGATAACTTAGTGTCTCAAATCTAAAGAGTAGTTACACAACTGACATATGAGAAACATTGCATAAACAATTAAATGAGCTAACAAATGCAATTCTCATGACGGGTCATATTCAGTGAACTCACTCTCTTACGATAAGCACCCACATGTTAGTTTCAAGTATTTTTATACTTCAACTTATGAGAATAATTGCTTATTTTACAAATAAAGAACATAGTATGTTTTGATCTTTGAGCATTATTGATGCCCTTTTCAATAGTACAATGATCAGGAACATTTAGGAACATGCTTCCATGCATAAGAATCTCATAATTGTATCCCAATACAATCTCTTTGTAAGGCATATATAGTTTCATGGGCTTTATCTACATAAGTATAAAAAGTAATTAAATTATAAACTTATGGATGAAGAACTACCTCATAATTATTATAAACTAATAAAATATCATATATGAATAACTCAAAATGTAATTTTCATACATTTAGAGATTAGCTTACAAGGCTCATACTAACAATATGATGATGTAGCCAACGTGTAGCATTGATGTTATGAATGTTATGGATAAATGTGCAAAGGTGACTCGAAAGTCTACATGGATACCCAAGGGTGTTGATAAATGTTTATATGATGTTGTTCATGAGATTATGGCACTCTGATGATATATGAGATAATTGCACTTACACTGTTTATGTTAAGAAGTTTTATAACTATGTAATGTTTAGAGGTGTCAATATGGGTAACCCAGCACAAGCCTTTGTGGGTTGAGAAAATATGGGCTGTGTTGAGCCAATTGATTTTTTACGAGGGCCATCAAAACCCTAACCCTTCTACCTTTTGTTAGCCCATGGTTGAGTTAGGCAAGCCCATTTCTTTTTTTCAAACAAAAATCATTTTTATAATTCTACTTAACAAACTTTATATCAATAAAATTATTCTATGATTTAATCCATAAATTGAATAATAAAAATATATTACAAACAAATAAATTATACCAAATATAAATAAACAAACAAATTACATAAATAAAGTTTCAATCTTTAACACAAACTACCATTCCATAAACATAAGTATATAACCAAATAATAAAAACTTCAAGACTCATTTATATCCTTTTCAATCCTCATCCTCAAGCAAAATATTTAAATTTTGTTTAGACAACGATGATGTCTCAAGGTTTGAATCATTATCAATTTATCATCTAATATTCATTATTATACAAGAAAAAGAGATAATCAATTTTAGTCCAAACTAAAATTATTAATTTGACAAGTAAAGATTAAAGATATTGAAATATATAAAATAAGTAATACCATTAGTAATCAAATTATTAATTTTATATAGTTAAATATATAAAATTATTAATTTTTTTTCTTCTAGCCTACAAGGCTGACCCGCCTCAATCCATTGATCAGATGGGCTAGCCCATTTAAGTTCGATTCTAATATGGGCTTAAATTTTCAAAATCAACCCATCTCTTTTTCAATAATAAATGGGCCGATCCAATGGGCTCAACCCATTTTGATAAGTCTAGTAATGTTACTTATGGTGATTACAATGTATGTATATTAATATTTGAATGTATACTTTTGCACATAACTATGAATGTTTAATGAACGAATTGAATGAGATTTGCTTAAGCCTAGCAGGCTATACCTATCTGGGTCCATGTGCCAGTCATATTCCATTACAAAATGAGATATAATATTTTCAGATTTATGTGAATATTGTGTACGCTGACATATGTGATGCATATGCTAGTCCAAACATTCTTATGTTTATGAAATGAATGAGCTTCCAACCATGGATGAATGGTACGATACCTATACTAATGATTAAATAAGAATGTGACTGAGATGCTTGCTTGGGCCTAGTGGACCTTGCCTATTGGATCTATGCATCGGTCATAGCTCAAGATCAGATCGTAACAAAATACCACGTCAACATAAATTATTATCAATCTAATCAATGTCACGATATCATGATAAATGTTATTTTAGCACATAGTCAACATTACATTTGCAGTCACATCATCTCAATTAATGCCATATCAACTTAGTCAAACACCTTGTCAACATCCTTAATGGTGCAAATTTAACAATGTTGAGGTTTGGATTAAAATTGACAAATTGGAAAAGTACAAAAATAGAATTTACATAAATTATTGTATAAGAACTAAATTCATATTTTTCATAAAGTATAGGGATTAATTACATAATTTAACTAGATAAAATTTTTTAAAGAAAACAACTATTTATTCTTCAAGAAATAATACACCATAATATGAGTTTCAATTACAAAACAAATATTGTTGATATGGCTGAAAAGTATTATTAGCACATCAAAATCTAAAAATAACTATGCAAACTCTATTTTGTGTGTCAAGAGAGAAAATTTGAATTTTTTCAATGATGGCATCCAAACATGGTGGGTGGTAATCAACATTCAAGCAGCAATGAAAAATATTGATATGGGAAGAAATATGTTGGAGATCAAAAGTTTATTGAGAAAAATGAATACTAAAGTTGAGGTTACAAGGGAACATTGCAAAATAATTAACCATTCCATTATGGCTGTGTGTGCAACACTAAAGGCCGTACGATCGAGTGGTTCAAGTTCTTATACAACTTGGGGTGTACACAGGTTTTAAACATCAAGAGGATACCATTTGATTACGATATCATTTGGTAAGGTAATCAATTCTGATTGCGTTTCTCATAATGTTCTATTCGCATTAAAAACAGCAAGGTGATCCTAGGTAGGTGTGGCATTTTTTTTTATATGCTGTTGCATTTTTAATCTGATTATATTGTATCTAACAAATCTTGTTGCTAATATTTATTAACTTAATGTAAACATTTTGTGAGCTAACTTATTGTTTTTGACATAAAGAAAATCTAATGTTTTCTTAACATGTTCTATATGTAGGCAAAGTTGTCATATATATTCACAATAGTAAATAAATATGTAATACATCAAGTCCATTATTTGAACATCAGGATCATTATGTGAACACAAGGATATCAAGACTGCTATTTGTAAACAATAATAAATCATTAACCATTAAAATAGGGTTCAATCTCAAGAAATTGTTAAAATCATTTCAATCTAAAAAACAAAGAACTGAACAAAGAAATACATGTCCCCATTTACCAAAACCATCATATAAAACATTTGGTTGTATCCCTAAACCACTACTTGCAAAATCAAAGGAAACAAATGTAGAGCTCATCACAAATGCATCACCACCAACAAATGCATCACCAATAGACTTACCAGTAAAAGTAAGACTAATAGTAATAAATGCTTGCACTATTGAAGATGAAACCCTCTTCTTTGTCGGTGGATTTCCGCTAGGACCTTTTGTCGGTAATAATACTGGTGGATCTTTGAGAGGGCTAATAATTGTTGGTGGATCTTCAATGGGGTCTTCTGGAAGATCCATTAATAGTGGAAGCAACCTTAGTTTTATTCTTCAACTAACAATATAAATAAATGTATTATTAGTAGTAAAATGCATTATTAATGTAAAAATTAAGTTTGAAAATTACTTTTTAATTGGTTCCCATAAGAACTCTATGACAAGGTTTTCTATTATAGCCAAGCTTATAGTAGAAAGTGCATTTAGCAATGCTCTTCCTTCTAATATTCTAGTATCTAGTTAATGCCTCCTTAGGTTTCCTTCTTCTACTCATTTTAGGTTTGTCAAGCAGACAAAGGAGCAACAAAGGCACAAATGGATTAAATCGACCTTTTAAACTCAATTATAGTGATATCAAGTATGTAGAAGTAGTTCAGTATCATTAAGCATTATAGAAGCAAGAACACCTACACAACAACATTGAATCAAAGACAACAAAACATTCAATCAGCAAATAAAACACGTGTAAAATTTCAACAAGAAACTGAGCACAAGACTGTTAGTAACTCATCAAGTAGTAATTAATGCATTATTGAATCTTTGATTTTGTTTTCTTATTTTGTTGTTACCATTGGAAGAACTTACAAATTCAACTTTGTCTATATAAACCTCGCAATCCTAATGTAAAAAATAAAAAACAAAAAAACTCAATAAAACTTAACCAACTCTTTTTTCTTCTTCTCTTGCTTTTCATCTCTGTCTCATCCTTATTCTACCCAAATTGTTGAAACTTTGTTATAATTCTTCAAGGTATAAGGTAAATTAATTCATTATATGCCAACATGAAAATATTTTTTAGAATAATAGTTATGACAATAAAGCTCAATACCACCCATCTTGCGACTAATGCAAGCTGCTGCATGCTCACAAGGTAGGCTTGAAATCTATCAAAACCCACATAGACAACTCCAAACTCCCATTTGCAAGTTCGTCAAAAAAACTCCTTCCACCTTTAAAGGCATTAAACTTACTCTCATTAGCAGATACCACTTTATAAAACATATCACTGCACTTAACTCTGTCAAGTCTTTCCTTTTTTTTCTTATTTAGACCCACTCCATGTTCTAGTACACTTTAAAATTAAGAAAACCAAGAAAAAATTAGAGCAAGATGAAACAGTTAAAGCTTGAAGAACTCTTAAAATTTAGAGCACATCTAGACTAACCTAAAAGATCCAGTTAAAGAACTTTTTATCGAAATCATCCTTGTTGAGAACTCAAATTGCGAATTGAAGTTTCAATTTTTTCCTTTTGAATTTTAAGCTGCCACGGAATTAAAATAGGGGAGTTGTGAGTCATTGTGTGAATAAGACAAGGACATACATGTAATTAGAACCTCTTGAAAATACAAAATTTCACATGATAGAACGTTATATTCCCAGATAAAGGTTCGACTACTGTGATTGGTGGGCAATTGGACATGACAAAACTTAAGATTACAGACATCATCCCACGTGGCAATTGGCATCTCCAAGAAAAAAAATTACCCACACAAAAACAAAGAAAATCCCCCAACTCTTCTCCCCTGTGATCATTGCTGATCATCCTCGAGTCATCAATGGCGGTCTCTTCACCATCTCCAGTTGCTTACCTTGGCAGAATCCAACAGGCCAACTTCCTTTCCGCTACGCAGCCTCGATTCAACCCCTTTTTTCCCGCCAAAAAACCATTAACAATCGTCTCCATGGCTCCCCAAAAGAAGGTAAGGGTAAGACAGACCATGTTTGGTTCGCAAGAAAAAAAAAACAAAATCCCGTAATAAATTGATGGGTTTGTTTGCTTGATTCTTATTATTTATTTCAGGTAAACAAGTTCGATCCCGACTGGGAAAAGCAATGGTTTGGTGCAGGGATCTTCTACGAAGGAAGTGAAGACGTGGAAGTGGACGTGTTCAAGAACCTTGAGAAGAAAAAGGTTCTAAGCAACGTGGAAAAGGCGGGGATTCTGTCAAAGGCAGAGGAGCTTGGGTTCACCCTTTCATCGATAGAGAAGCTCGGCGTTTTTTCTAAAGCCGAGGAGCTAGGACTGCTCAGCTTGTTGGAGAAGACAGCTAGTGTGTCTCCTTCCACGCTGGCTTCGGCGGCACTGCCAGCTTTAGTGGCGGCGGTGGCGGCGATAGTAATTATACCTGATGACTCGGTGGGGCTGGTGGCGGCGCAAGCGGTGTTGGCTGGGGCACTTGTGGTTGGTGCTGCTGGGTTGTTAGTGGGGTCGGTTGTATTGGGTGGTCTACAAGAAGCTGAATAACGTTCACTTGTTTGTTTTTTTCCTTTGATTGTCGTTGTTTTGTTTTGGGTTTTCTAATAAATTTGGTGAATGTGATAAGGCTTGTAAGTTAGTACAGAAAGAAGATGTAGAATAAGGCTTTTGTTGTAGCTACTTTGTTGATGAGGGCTTCATGTTGGTTGAAATGAAAGACACATATCAGCATCAAGCTCAAAATCAAAAGGCTTATTTATATGTCCAGTTGGAAGCATTTCTTATACAATTATAGTTCCTAATCCTAAACCATTATCCAGCGACTGTAAAAGAAAATAAAAACAGAAACAAGAAAAAGGGGAACAAACATAATAAGAGAAGGAACCCAATTCCATTATTGTGCAAGAAATAAGGTAAAAACAGACTAAGGAGAAAGCCACTAGTGGAGATGCGGGGTATCGATCCCCGTACCTCTCGCATGCTAAGCGAGCGCTCTACCATCTGAGCTACATCCCCCATTTGAGGCTTTAATCAGAAAGATAATAAAATTGACTTCTTAACTTCACTGTTTGTTCTCATATGCCATGTGGCGCGGACTTTCGCAACAGCGAACGGTGTGCCCATTGGATTGGAATTCCTTCCTGCTGTGACTTCGTTTGTCATTTTCAACGTTCCATGTTGCTGACAAGCTTATTTTTAAACTCGTATGCGCATATGGACTCTGTGGGTTGTTCTTTATCCCTTCCTTTTACCTTGTCAAAATGATGTTTTCTCGTTTCATTTTTCTCTATTGTGTCAGTATAGTAGGCACATGCAATGCAAGCGTTACTGTTTGAATTAATGAGGAAACTGCTAGGTTGCCCAGAAAGCAAGGAAAAACAACTTTTAACTAACCGCGGGGGACGGGGGACATGAAAAAGAAACAGGACCACAAACAAATTTCTGTCTTATTTGAGTGGAAGAATTCATTCATTCCTGCTCCCCAAACTTCAGATACTCAACTTTGATTCAAATCAATCAACCAAAGGGTATGCTAAGGACGTTGTCCGTTTGTTCTTTGTTTTAATTAGTTATATGTATGTATGTATGTATGTATGTATGTATGTTTGCATGTATATTCCATGATATCAAGTCCCCTGGTGACTGTTCGATTACTTCTCTTAGTACCCTTTTCATTTACTTTTATCTCAATTTGTTTAAATGCCAAGGTAAAGATGCATTCCATACTTTTCACAGCCATCCTCTTGTTAATATTGCTAATTAATGTCGTGCCCATTTGAATTGATTGAGACTTATACTTATTTCCAGCTAGCTTTTGTTTGGGGGTAGGTTAATGAGCAAGAATGATATATATGAAGCTGTTGTCTTGGATACTGTTGCTCTTTGTTTTTGAGTAAACAAGAAAATTGACGATTTATGCGTTGTGCCAACTTGTGCCAAATTCTTTACCCCATTAGTTAGCTGTATGGTGCAAAGGTAACATCCATATCTGATAATGACATGTGTTAATCATTCAGATATTTGGAATAGCGAAAATTTTGGCACCATGGCTGTTAGATTTTATCATTTCCAATGTTACCAGTTGAAGTAAAAATGAGATTTAGAACTGGAAATGATTCCAAATTTCACTAGCTATGCTCGTGCACTGATTTAACTACATGAACATTAGTAGCATTATATGTGTGATTCTTGCACTAATGCTTACAAGTAGAAATGAAAATTAGGGATGAGAAAAAGCCCTAAGGTGATACCATGCAAGAGAATTAATAGAGAAAAGAACCACACTATTACTCATATCCTCTCCCGACTTGGTCTCCCAACTTGGCGCGGATGGAGCTTGGAAGACTCCATTTAAATCAACTCTAGCTGATGGATTTGGTTGACTTCAACTATGAGGCCTTGCAGAGTTTAAATCTTTGACCAATCAGCAGGGGCTTGTTGTTCCATACTTGTAGCGGTTTGCCCAGAAGAGATAATGCAAGAAATTTAGACTGCTAAGTAAGCACATCAACCAGTAAAACCTCTCTAGGTGGTAATGATTCAAGTTGCTACCAGAAAGCCATGGTGTGTGTCGAAAGCTGCTGGTAACATTGTTGACTACTGATATAAGCACTGAACTGAAATAGTATCCCATGGCAAGTGAAGCCCAAGAGAGAGATGTGGCCAAGGATCTCATGCTTGTTGGTGCCTCAGTAAAGAAGAATTCCATCATGCCAGCTAAGGTGAAAAGATCAGCTGATCCAAGAAACAAGTATTGGAGAGCTATCCAAAGGAACGTGATTGGTAGAGAATCAGCAGAATTGAGTAGCCCAGATTCGACTGCTACCTTTTTTCGCTTTATTTCCACTAGAGCAGCCACTGCCATTGCAATAATAGATAGAACCAGCCCCGTTCCCATTCTCTGGAGATGAGTAATTCCGATTTCAGTCTTGGTTACTTTTCTGGCCAATGGAATTATGACATGGTTATAGGTTGGTGCAAGGATCATCATGAAGATGACGGGGAAGATAGGGAGAGAAGCAGGTGGAACTTTTAAAGAACCAATCTTGGTGTTCATGGTGGCTGCTTGTTGGACAGAAAAGGTCGAGAGCTGAGCAAGGCAGCAGTTAAGCATTATGGTGCACATGAAAATTGGGAGTATCTTTAGCACTACTTTGACCTCTTCTACTTGCTTTACTGTACAATCTAACATCGGTTTAACTGGTTTTTGTTTGATTGCTTTGTTCAGGAACTTGAGGTCTTCTGTAAGAGTTCGACTTGGGACCATTACCTTGTTATTACTTTCTTCTCCGTCCCTGGTTTCCGTTTTGTCGGATGGGCTTGCTTCCATGCCCATGACTGCAGAGCTAGGATTCGTAGACTTGCAGTTGTTGTAAATTGCTGCAGCTAAAACCTGTAGGTCATGAATGAAAATGGATTACTTTTTCAAGCCGTAGCTTTGCAACTTGCGTGCTTATGTAGTTTTACTGGTTTGAGTTCTACCTTAAACATTGTGGTAATAGGGCTTCCTGCTGGAATCTTTGTCCTGTAAATAGGAGAGCCAAGGAGAAAAACCGGTATGGAGATCAGTATTGCTGCAGTAGCGATCCCAAATCCCCATTGCCAGCCTTTGTTGTCTTCAATCCATACCACAAAAGAGACTGCAAGTAAAGCTCCACAAGAGAGGCAGAACACATAGTAGTTGAAGAAGGATGATCTCTGCCTCCTCCCTTGTGGGGTGGTCTCATCAAATTGCTCAGCCCCATGAGGGGGAAGTGAACCTTTTATTCCACCAACACCTAGTGCTACCAGATAAAGGCCAGTAAACAACATTGCTGCTTTCTGGCCTCCGACTTTCTGGCATGGAATTTCAGTGCTTGCGAAAGCGCAAGTTGGTGGTTTCAATGAAGGTACGTGAGCTTGCACTGTGAGTGTTAAGAGACCCTGTTTAATGGTTAGAGCTTGTTAAAGGAAGATTTAGAAGATAAGTTAATTGATGACATCTGAGAAAGAACACTCCACTATCTGACTACAGATCTATAAACTAAGGCAACAGGAGTTTTGATGGGCATCATGTTGTTTTGGTCACACTATAGTAATTTGTGGAGATATAGGGCTCGTATGGTACGGACATGAGTGTGTTTTTTACTCAGTTGCCTTAATTACGCCTATTTTCTATCAAGTTGTCACATGGTTGGACATGGTTGCATTTAATTGAGTTGGACTCATAGATGGGGAGTTTTTTTCTTCCACCAATCAAATTTCGTTATGGGCAAGGGAGAACCTTTTGTGGGACCTAGCCCGGTTGCTATGAAATGTAACTGTACAATGCTAGTACAGACCAAATTAACGCTTTCAATAGTTGTCTTTCCCCTTTCCCCAATCCCCACCCCTTGTTTTCGTGTGTCATATTATTGGTTGGGCTTTGCTATGTCTTACTGGTGACGGAGTCATATCGTTCTGAACCCATTGATAATGTGTTAATAGCTAGTAGGGGCGTCATCAAGTGGGCCTGAGTACCACCATGTCCATTTGTGTACTTATTCAATGCTGCAGTATTGTTCACACATGCTTCTAGGTGGATAGGTAACTGTACGTTTCACCCTGCTTGAAATAACAAACGGATATTTTTTGATGATTCCTACAACTGTATTGTATGCCCTTTCTAACCAAGGAGACCTTCAAAAGCCAATTAGGTGCTCTCTTGACCAACTTGTGCCCCAGATGGTGACAACTTTTGGCTGGTTGATTCTTAGATTTCAATTTTTGCCATGTTAATTGCTGTCATCCCAGAACCGTGGGTTGTAGCGAGTACTTACCTGGATGAACCTATGGTTTTTAAGTTTAAAATTGCATACTCCTTACATGTGAAACTTGCAAAGTGGAAAATAACATAAAGGTCAAGAGTTTAACTTTGCTATTAGATTCTTACCATAAATTCTATTGCAGCACTTGTCAAGTAGAGGCGGTAGGTGGTGAAAAAATCATCTGCTAAAAAGCCACCGAGGAGAGCAAGGAGGAAGGCTGTTCCCATGAAATTGGTAACAATGTTTGCAGAGCTTGATGGAGAGTAGTGCATGAACTTTGAAAGGTACAGCACAAGGTTGCTTGCATTTGCCAGGAAAGCTAGATTCTCCAGAATCTCCACAGCTACGGTTCAACAGATTTCACAAGTAAGTCTTATGTTCTTTAATTGCAATGTTAATACAAGGTAATACAACAACTACTGAAACAGAACCCCTTGCAAGATAAAAGTTTCTTTCATATTGTTGAATTTACACTATTTAAAAAATTTTCAGCAACAACCAAATTCTATATTTTAGTAAAACTTTGGAAGCCTATGGTTGGATGGGGTGCCTTGATTAATTAAAGCAATACTGACCTAAGACAAAGGATGCGGCAAGCATGCCACCGTGACGGCCTCTCATGGCAGGTCTATTTCTCCAATCTACATAGCCTTTCCATTTGTTTGACTGACGTGCTTCTTCCTACAACAATGAACCAAGAACTAAATTAGAACGCACCAGTATAAGTGGGAAGCCACGAGATAAAAGAAGAAATGGAATAAGAACATAAGATCAGAATCCCACCATAGCAACTTTTGTTATTTTCTAGAATATTTTAAACTTGAGTGGGATCTTTGGCTGTAGAATACTTGATAAAGAATTTCTTGAATAATAAAGGTTTTAGAGTTTGGAGTCATTTATATAGACTGAATATATGTGGTCCAACCCTCAGGGAAAGGTCTAGAGCCAGTGATAATGACTACTCATTACCTCCTACACTGTCAAAGTTGACAGTTTCTATTAGTGAGGCAGTAGATTGAGGGAGAAAGAGAGGGGGAAGGAGGGTATAGAGCGAGAGAGTAATGGAGGTGTATTCTTATCTGGGATCACTTGGTTATAATGAACCATACAGAAAAAGAAAGGATAAAAATGAGAATTATTGGAATCCAGACCTCCAGTGTGCACACTTGTTATGATTGAAACATGCCATATTTTCCTTTTAGATTGGATTGTGTTACCCAAGATGATATACGTAATCACTCTCATGAAAACAACGAATAAGAAGATTATTTGAACTTCTCTATACAGGGGTAAGAAGATGATTTTCTAGTGGATATTACTTGCAAATTGGAATCAAATGTGGCCTTAGATGATTGCCTGGCCAAACTGTGCACAGTACGTATGTTCTCGACGTCTTTAATTTATAAAGGATGGCCATCAGAAAATGAGAAATAAATAAAAGAAACAAGTGGACTAGATTAAATGAGGTCGTGGTGGTAGGATGTTCTTGGAGCTAAAGTTAAGATCCTAGCTTTTTAAACATGCCCCACAGCAACACTCACCCTTCTGGTGGTAATGCCGCTGTGTCTTAAAGTTAATCTTGAGAGATGGATGCTTTTTCTACTAGCACTATCTCTGTATTATACTATTTTGACTTTCCCAACATGAAAAAAATAAATACATGCTTTTTCGTATATATAATATACAAGAACTTGTCCCTGATTGGTTAGATCAGGCTGCATGAATTCCAATCTGATCACCGAAAGCCATGTGTTGTTGTATCGCTGTCCATACATGTGAGTTTTGTCTGGTCTCAATGTTCTACTAGTGTTTTCAGCTTCAGCTTCAATAGTATTGTTTCTCACATGTCACAATAGGAGTCATCCGAGGAGTGTGTCCTATCGATCCATGTTGTTGCCTGTTGCATCGGTTTCCTTTCTAGGCCACCTGAATTCCTTGCTCCCTTGTTCAGCTGATTATGTGGACACGATATACCCCCTGGAGATCTCCAAATTGGGTGGCTAACAGCCTTTAGGACAGGGACCTACTTCCTGGCATTTACTTCCGAGCACTGCCACCCTTTTAACAGTTTTGCCCTTAATATACTGACCAAACTAAAGAACGTGACAAAAAGAAATGCCTGGTAAATTAGCATTTCCAGGCGACAATGATGCTGAATGAAATTAAAGGGTGACAAAGGGAAAATGAGAGTGTATGTTTTGTGTAATTAATTAGAAATTCTTTCATGAAGTTGATGGTGAAATTAACTACTGATTAACAGAGTGTGGTCTGTGGTGTCAATATCAAACTCGGATATTTCAACATTTTACGTACAGATAAGGCTTATAGATTATGATCTATGGTAGGAGTGAATAAATAGCTAAGATTGGTTCTGTTGCGTATATAATTTGGATGAAATTATTTAAGAAAATCCTTATAGTATGCCAGTAATTTCATCATCTGGAAAGCTCATTTAAACGATAAAACATTCCTCTCCTCATCTTTGCCCTTGCTTTTCTCTTTCGTTTTCTTCTTTTCATTTCGATTCATTCCATTTTCAGCCGCAAGAAAGGCGAATATAGTGACTTCATATTTCAACTTTAAAGCATTTTTAGATTCTGATTCTCCTAAAATTTGTTGATTGCCATTTCATCCCATCCAGGTACGTTAATGGATGGAATATTAGTCTCACCGTCAAAGAATACATTGAGCCTTGCTGAAGCTGCCCAAGGAATACAAAGCAGAGGTCCTTCGTGTCTGATTTATGTCCATATTTTTGTTAGCGTATACTCTATAGCTGGCTCAATGAGAATTGCTTGATAAGACTTAACATGCTGCTGAGTGTCCTTTTTAACTCAGTACAGGCTGGTGGCTATTTTGCATGTGAATTTTTTACCTCTACCGCGTTATGGGAAATAATATCTCTCGCCTTGTAAATCCTCTCTTCCAGATAAATTTTAGGCTTTCAAAAGTCTGCAAGATATCACCTAGTTGTAGAGATTATTGTCTGATCATTTTGGTAAGCATTTCCTATATATTTTTCTTCAAATATCCTTTTTGCTGTTTCACCTATCAAATGAATAGTTACAAGTTTTGAAGCTATGAGCATTGATGATAGATCAGAAAGTAATGAAGAGAGAGTTGAATATATTTCTCAGTGGTAAAGTAACCTGTCCATATGATCACTTAGGCAACTTTTGTTTTAGGCAGCAACTGATTTGCTTAAATGCACATACAAGTTAACCATGAAAGCATTTTGAAGATTAGACGATAACAAAAATAATAATAAATGGAAAGGGAAGATAGCCACATGGATCACTTCAAGCTGAGAAAATAGAAACAGTGCTCTAACAGTAGACAACCGATGGGGCACCTTGAATGTTGGGACATGAATGATTGCAAGACTATAAAGAGGTTGAAAGTTGAAAGAGCCAATGGGGTAGTAGTAAATGTTTGGGCAACATAAAAAGATCGAAGGAGTTAGGCAGCAGGCAAAGTGCTGTGTGCCTTTTGAGTTTGAGAATTGAAATCAGCTGGGAGACCACAGGTAAATAAAATGAGTGTCGGGGCGCACAGGGTGGATGTAGGTTTTGGGAAACATAACCACCCACTAGCGTTTCCCTCTTATGCTGTGCAAAACTATAATTTTTCATTGTTCTAGATTCACTTTCAGTCGTTTAGGTGGTGATTGTTGTTCACTAGTCTTTTATTGGGGCCTCCTTACACATGCTTCTCGACTTTTCTGGTACTATTGCTTCACAAACTTTAACAAATAGGCTGATCACCATCATCATTTTTTTTTTTTTTTGCTTTCTTGAGATTGTAATTTGAAGGTCTCGTGCTAGGAAGGGCGTACCTGAGAATAAAGAGTTGCCTTTCCCTTATGTAACCTATTTATTTATATATATGTGTATGTGCTGATATATATATATGCCCACCTTTCGCTTAATCATTTTAATAAATGATAGAGATTTCTCTGGTGGGTGAGAAACTTCTAGTTTCTAGCTGGCAGTACCAATGATTTCCCAAGGAAAGTGGGCTTTTTATTATCGTTGTTTGTATTTACCATTCGCAATTCTTCTTTGGACCCAACTTGGCCGAGGTTCAGCCTGCGGAGGAATCGTGCTTAGAGCCTGGACCATACCTTCACAGGCCTTAAAAGAACCAGAAGTCTAAGGTTGGTTAAGACTATGGGTAACCATTACAGCCTTGGTTGAGAGGACCGAATAGCATCCAACCTTTAGGGCTAAGGGACCTTTCAGTTTCGAAGTTTCACTGGCCTTTGAAATTATTCATAGTCATCATCTGCTGTCTGCACAGGAGAGCAACACCCATTCTATTCTTACGTGTGAGAGTTTTCTGGTATTTATTAGTGGATTAAATACGCATCAGCACAATCCAAAACTTCATGACCTCCATTTTACTCTATGCCATCGCATAAAATTGTCAATTCAACTTTAAGTGCTGATTTGATTGAAGATCTTAAGCTTCAACCATTACGTACAAAAGTTTTCACCACTTGAATGAAAGTATTATTTTGTTTATGAATTATTCACTTAATTTTAATTACAGCAAAGGGAATTTCAAAGTGGTAGATAACAAATGAATCATGCTCATTGCAGAGTAAATTGTACCAAACCTTCATTGACTTTTTTTTATGATATTTCGTTTTCATTATTAACTTTTTTAAAACTTAAATTTTAGATATGTAATCTTTCAAACATATTTTAAAATTCATTTATTCTGCCCATTGCCATTAAAATTTAATGGACTTTGTCATCTCAACGCCACATGAAAAGTCTATGTGTATGCTTAAGGGCCACAAATCATAGCCACGTGGATGTCAGCATTGGCAAAAATAGGGAGATTGGACACTTTGGATGTTCATGTGTCATAAAAATGTGGGCTCATTTAACTTTGTGCGTTGAAATTTATACCATGTGATACAAAGGTAATATAATTTTCAAAATTTTAATAATAGGTTAATGAAATGGATGGATTTAGTGTTGCAGATCTAAAAAATTAAATTTTAAAAGTTGCTAGGAAAAATAAAATATTATACAAAAATTACAGATAATTTGTGCGTATTGTACCCATAATGACCATAACCATAGTGCGTATTATACAAAATAAAATCCAATTTGTGTGCAAGACATGTAGCAATGTACCTGCAATCATTTAATTCTTTTCCAATTTTTTTAAGATGTATTCCTTTAATTTTAAAGTGTTAAAGATACCACATTTTTTAGTAAAATTCATTCTAATTTAGAATATTTAGACTCAACTTAGAATGAATAATTTAAAAGAGGGAGTGAATTAGATTTTTTTCAAAAAAAAATCACAAAAAAAATTTTCTAAAAGAGATATAACAAATTTTAAGATGATTTACAATTCAATAATATATAATAGAAAGTAAATGCAATAAGGGTAAAGAATGAAGAATAAAGAGAATTGTAAACTCAATTTATAGAGGTTTAGCCATTCCTCTTAGTACCTATATCTCTTTCCTTAACTTGTTAAGGAGTTCAATCTACTATCAAATTTCAATCGATGATTAACTTTTTAAAAACTAAGATATAACCTCTCTTCCCTCAAGGTTTTGATAGAACTTCTAACATTAGCTTTCAAAGTTAAGTTAACCTTCCTATCTTTTCAGAATTAGATAGAACTTCTAATAATCTGCTTTGAAGGCTAAGTGTATTTCCCTATTTCTCATAGCATGTTTGATTAGGGGAGAATAGACATTGATCAAGAATGAAAGGAAATGATTGAAAAATATTGCTTTATGTCTCAGCTCACAATCAAATGAATACAGCGTTGCAATTATATGACTTGTCAGAACCATCTAGAAGGCCTTCTAACACCTTGGAATGGAAAGAGAAAAATTCTAAGCTACAAATCAGTAACAATAATTTTGAAATAACTAAAGAAATAGCTATTCCTATGGAATGACTACTCTTCAAAGTCTTTTAAAACTAAGGAATAACTAGTACCACCTCCCATGGTATTAGCTATTCCATGATTGAAAAATAAACTCAAAAAATTATGAAAACTAAAATACCCCTTACAAGTTTAAAAAATTACAACTCTATTTGTATAAAATATTTTTTTTTCTCTACTCTCCTTCTCTCCCTTGATTCCAACTTTTAATTAAATATTAATATTAAATTAAAAATTAAATATTAATATTCAAATGATCAATTATTAATATTTAAAATTAATTATAAATTATTAATATTTAAAAATAAAATAAAATAAAAATAAATAAGCCTAATAACATTTAAATTATAAATAAAATGTCAATAATTAAATTATCAATTAGTAATATTTTA